CTGATGGTCTCCAATGGTGTGTCACAAGTGAGTCCACCAGCTTCATCTGTTCGCATATCGCAATTCTTCGAATCCCAAGCAGTGTACCAATGCTGATCTGCCACCACCCAACTGAATCGCTCTGAATCGGAGAAAGTGTCGAAGAACCACGGCACCACGGTGTGGGTAAAGTTCTGGAATGCAGTGTCGATCATCTGCATGTACAATTTCTTCCCCTCCTGAGGTAGGCTGGAAATACGGAAGATTTGAGCCGCGTCGGCCAGCCACTTCAAGACATCGTCTTCCTCTGCAAAGTGCAACCCAGAGTTCAGGTGGGCAGGTTCGTTCATCAGCGTAATTCCCACCAAGCCTCAGAATGCTTCTCAACAAGGACCTGGGGTTCATATGACCCAAATGGTTGATTCAACGAGGAAACCAACAATAGAGCTTGGGATTTTATGATCATTTGTTTGGGCAAAACATGCAATCAACCATACTACTTTGGATGATGTTCATGCAAATAGATAGCGCACACTTGCGCTGGAGATCCTGCAAATGCATTCTATGCAACTAAGAGCACCAATATTTCCCAACTTCCACTACCACTAGAGTCCCCGGAGATTGTTTCGCAAATCATAGAAAATCAAGTCATAGCCGAGGCACCTGCTTTCGCTTCCTCACTCAAGTCTTCCAGCCATTTCACTGCTGCACTGACTATCCACAAGCCGACTTGCGAAAGATTGGTTTTGCCCAGCTGGCTCTTGTTCTTCCAAAAGGCGGGCTTGTTAGGCCAAACCTGCAGATGTATGCTAAAAGGCTACAGGATTCAGGTATCACCAGGCATCGCCTTTTACATCCTAATACCATAATATATCATCATACATCATCTTAGATTATCGTACATCATCATTGATCATACATCATGATCATATCATCATATATGTATCATTATATATTGTAATATCAACACACTTTGTCTCTGGTTTGGAGCCCTGAGTTTGGGAGCATGAGATCAGGAGCCGCCACATAGCTACAAGCAACTGCCATTGAGGTGGGGTCTAATTCCCCAGGTTAGCACACTGTTAATGTCCAGGTCAGAACAGAAAGGCTGAAGGTATCTCGATGGGAAAGAAAATAGAACTGTGAATTGGGTGTGCGCGGCGTGACCGTGTGATCACTCCAACAGGAAAGAAAATAGACAGAATGATCACAGACCAATTGTAATATCATGGACAACCGCAAAACCTCTATGTGTCGAAGTCCCTTGGTGTATTTCTAGTAAGTAGGGAGCAATTCCAAAAGACGAATCACAAAAAAATCGCTGCAGCTGAAGAAACGCCATTGTAAGTGCCTTGCGAAGAACCTCCCGGAAACGCGTGCAGATCAATCAAGACGCGAATGCCATGCCTTGAGCAACGGACCAAGAACTGGGCCAACCAATCTCGTGGGATGGTGGCAAAGGCTGCACGATCCACATAGAAGGGATCCGGCACCTCAAAAGCACCATCTCAACATCAATAATTCATTGCGTGACCGAAGGATTTGCGGGTGGAATCTTGACATGCTCAAATATGAGTACATCAAATATATGTATATAGTTATCGTCCCGAAGGAAGTTTAGAAGTCAAACTTCTGACAATATGGACAGATGGAAAAGCAGAGGGGAAGAGTCAGAGAAGAGAAGGCAAGAAGAGAGAAAATCAGAGAAGAGAAAGAGTCAGAAGAAAGAAGATGCAGGTGCAGGAAACAGTAGAAAAATCGCGATTCACTGTGTTTTTCCAATGATTTGTGGTTCCGGAGAATCGAAAAGTAGGCTCGCTAAAGCGGCAGTATAAGAGACATATTCATCAGAGATCTTGAGAGGGATTGCACTTTGGAGCATCAGATCTTCAGGTTTGCTAAGATGATTTTGCGTCACAGGTGCAGCACTTCGTATGACCCGAATGGCAGGCGCGGTGCTTTAAACAGGTGGAGTGCAAAAATCGCAAGACGCATTGGTACGAGGCCGTCAGACGTGCACCCACTTTCCATTTTTGAAGGATGTCTCGCAGAATTGTTTCATTTTTGATGTTGTCAACTTCGAGAATTGAGGAAGTCTCGCAGAATTGTTTCGTTTTTGATGTTGTCAATTGCCAAGTTCAAAAATTGAGGAAGTCTCCCAGAATTGTCTCGTTTTTGATGCTGTCAAGTTCAGAAACTGAGAAAGTCTCGCGGAATTGCTGCGTTTTCGACAGACAGATAGATAGATAGATAGATAGACAGACAGACAGACAGGTAGAAAGATACATAGATAGATAGATAAGATAGATAAGATAGATAAGATAGATAAGATAGATAAGATAGATAAGATAGATAAGATAGATAAGATAGATAAGATAGATAAGATAGATAAGATCGATAAGATCGATAAGATAGATAGATAGATAGATAGATGGATAGATAGATAGATAGATAGGTAGATAGATAGATAGATAGATTAGATAGATTAGATAGATTAGATAGATTAGATAGATTAGATAGATTAGATAGATTAGATAGATTAGATAGATAAGATAGATAAGATAGATAAGATAGATAAGATAGATAAGATAGATAAGATAGATCAGATAGATAAGATAGATAAGATAGATAAGATAGATAAGATAGATAAGATAGATAAGATAGATAAGATAGATAAGATAGATAAGATAGATACGATAGATACGATAGATAAGATAGATAAGATAGATAAGATAGATAAGATAGATAAGATAGATAAGATAGATAAGATAGATAAGATAGATAAGATAGATAATATAGATAATATAGATAGATAGATAGATAGATAGAAAGATAGAAAGATAGAAAGATAGATAGACAGACAGATAGATAGATAGGTAGATAGAAAGATAGATAGATAGATGGATAGATAGATAGATAGGTAGATAGATAGATAGATAGAAAGATAGATAGACAGACAGATAGATAGACAGACAGATAGGTAGACAGATAGGTAGAAAGAAAGAAAGAAATAACGAAAGACAGAAAGAAAGATAGATAGATAGGTAGATAGATAGATAGATAGACAGACAGATAGGTAGGAAGATAAATAGATAGATAGATAGATAGATAGATAGATAAGATAGATAAGATAGATAAGATAGATAAGATAGATAAGATAGATAGATAGATGGATAGATAGATAGATAGATAGGTAGATAGATAGATAGATGGATAGATAGATAGATAGAAATATAGAAAGACAGATAGAAAAAATGGATAGACAGACAGATAGATAGATAGGTAGGTAGATAGCTAGATAGATAGGTAGATAGATAGATGGATGGATAGATAGATAGATAGATAGAAAGATAGAAATAAAGATGGATGGATAGATAGACAGACAGATAGATAGATAGGTAGATAGATAGATAGATGGATAGATAGATAGATAGATGCATAGATAGAGAGAGATAGATAGATAGATAGATGGATGGATGGATGGATAGATAGATAGATAGATAGACATAGAGATAGGTAGACAAACAGATCGATAGGTAGACAACTACAGCTACAACTGCAACTAAACTACACTACCACTACCGCTACAACTACAAATGCAAACATACTACGCTACAGTACGCTAATGACACTACACTACACCACTTACACTACACTACATTGACTACACTACACTAATCACAGGACAACTTTGACAACTGCAACTACTATTACTACTACAGGTGCAGCTACAACTGCAACTAAGCTACATTACATTACACTACGCTACACTAATTACATTACACTACACTACACTAGAGTACAACTTCGATTACAACTACACTACATTACACAACACTACGCTACACTAATTGCACTACAACTACAACTACAAGTACAAATACAACTACAGCTGCACTACACTAATTACCCTACACTACGCTTCACTAACTACAACTGCAGCTACAACTGCAACTACGCTACTTTGCACTACATTACACTAGACTACACTACAGCACACAACACTACAGGACACTACACTAAACTGCTTTACACTAAACTACACTACGTCACACCATAACTACGACTGCAGCTACACTATGCTAATTACATCCTCTCACGTTGCTTCACCCCACCCTGTGCACCATTTTACACCCAAAAAAACCGTTCTAAAATGGAATCTATGAGGGGGTCTTAGAACTCAAAAATGTTGGCTGCTATTCCGTTTTTGGATTCTAAAATGGGTTCTTAAATGGTATCTTTCATTCTTTTAAAAAACATTGAGAAAAAAGCTTGTTGAAACCATCGCATTTCAGAAAAAACGATGAGGAAATCTGCACCCCAAAAAATAGATCGACATGGGGCCAATCAAAAAACACACTGCAAAGAGCACTCCATGATACTCCATAGCATTTTTCAGTGGGTGGCGGCCGCAAATGGTCTTGTCATTTCCTACCTACGGAGCCAGGTTTTTGCCCGCAATCTTTGCTTCCTTTCTTGCAAAGTACACCCCAACCCGAATGCCTTCAGAATGTCCCCTAAGTCACCCCTTTTCAAATAAACTTCGTTTTGGGCTACTTCCATTTCCCGCACGATTGTTTGTTTACTTGTGCGACCAAGTAAATGTTCAATAAAACAGCAAACTCATACATGCAGTTTTTTCCAAAACAATAGTGTTTTTGCGTCACAGGAGAAAAACAAGGAACAAATCATCACATGCGGAATTAGCAAGCAGCTGCATGTGGGACTACAGCTGTCGCAGCTGTCACTTGAAAATATGGTAAGTTTGCCTGTCTTCATCAGGATGGAGATCGTCAGTGGAGGCTCACCACTGACTGGACTCTTGTTCCTTTGGGATATTTCGGGGGGCTGGGCAGCTATGGCATAGAGATGTCACGCTAGACAATGCACCTTGATGATTTATCTTTGGGAAGGGTTCTGGAATGGTTTCCTGCTTGGCTACACGTGTGAGGTACCAGCTACTGCAAGGGGAAACCATTTTAGACCATTTGTCTGCTTCGATAACTTAGATATGTTCATTTGTTGCACAGGCATTGGTCTACTTGTATAAGAACAAAAGATGGCAGAAACAGTTTTTGCTGACTTGGTTACCCCTGAAAATCATTGAAAATTGGGTTGTACCTGTCTACCTGCCCCTGGAGGTGTTTCTCTTTGGGAAGAGCTGAACCCACAAGTTCCCCCAGTCAAAAAAGTTCTCACAAGAGATCAAGAAACAAACCGAACTGTGAATTTGTATGAATTTGTCAATTTTTTCTACCATGTATCTGTGTATTATCCTTTTTTGTTTATACCAAATGGCATTTGTTCTGCCATGTTGCCGCGACATAGTGCAATCGAGCCTTGTAAATCATCAAAAACTAATTAAACCATGGTTTCAACAGGAGGATCAAACTGGCAAATTGCTTTCAACCACCGGCTCACTAGGAATAACAAATACCTGCACAAAACAAGCGCCATACATCATCATATAGTAACATATATACACACTTCCAAAGTTCTACAATGCTTACGCGGCTGGAAGTGCTACAATGTTTTTTTCGTTTTAGAACCCCTGCATCCAGAAGTTGTGGGTGAGGTGACCACTGCAACCATTGCGACAATTCAAAAAAAACACAACTCCAAACACCTTTCGGCCCACCAGTATCAGTGGATTCGCTTTGCCATCCACGCATCACAACAACTCACCTCTCCTATAGTGTCCTATCTTTGACACTTCCGCCACCGCCTTGTGCGGTACTACTGGTATGAATATGCATATATATAAACATATATAAATATAGATGATAATATAAACATATATAAATATAGATGATAATAATAATAATAATAAATAATAATAGTAACTCAACAGAATTGAACTAATCTAGTGAAAAGGCACAAGGATGGTCTCATTGAAAGGATTGTGGGAACCATAGACATTCTGATCCAAAGGTGCCAGTGCATCTGCAAATGCTGCCCAGGTGATGGGCAAACGTACCATCTGTAGGCCCAAGGAAGATATGGCCGATAAATCTCGCTCACCGATGAAAGAATGTCGGTGGGAAGTGAAGGCTTGGATAGTAAAGTTGTAGCCTCAGTTGGAAGTGTGTCAAAACCAATAGTACCCCTGTAGTTCACATCAAAATAGCTGGGATTTATGGATGTTCATCCCACTAAAAATGTATCTATAGGTATTGACCCATACTCAGTTAACAAAAAGGCCAAAAGGATCCAAAAGGCGTCTTGCTTCAAGTGACATCTTCCTTTCTTGTCCACTCTTCAGACTCTCAAGATTACAAGATTGTTGAACAACATCTAACATATGATATTCACAGATGTTGGAAGTCTCCTTGCTATTTGGGCCATCATGTTCGGATCAGGTGTTTTCATTGACTTCGCACAGGCAGTGGTATTAATGTTCTGTTTAAACAATACTGGTTACGTTGGAGCAGGTCTGAAGGTTGCTCAGCGTAAGTAGCCTTGTCAAGCTTTTCACTCCTTCTTGAAGATTAAGTCACCAGCAGCTACTTACTTGCTGTGTTTTTGAAATGTTCCTAGTTCTGTAGGTTTTTAGTTCTGTAGGTTTTTAAGTCAGCAGCGTTGGGATTAAGTCACTAGCAGCTACGTGCTTAAAATGTTCCTAGTTCTGCAATGTTCTGTAGGTGTTTTACCGGAGCCCTACCTATAGTCTCCCAGAAGAAGTGCGATCAAAAGAATCCAAAGAATCTATTAGAATCTACTACACCATCATAATCATACTATCCAGCATATATGTGCCAATGAAACTCTCCCTCACCCAGTGAATCCAATCCCAGTATCCCTTCGTCTTGTTGAGTTCAAACGTGAGATTGCCTTCAGAGGTCCAAGGCATTGAGCTGACCGCTGGAGGTAAACAACGGCCTTGGACGTCTTGGTCCATGGTTGAAACATGCGTGCCCGAGTCACCCGAGTAGAACCAATCCTCCAAGCACAACCAGCCACCCAGATTCACTCCAGCCAGGTGTCCAGGCAGTCCAAAAGACTGGCTAGACACATCCCGTGGAGCTTGAGGCCATTCAAAGGACCTGTTCTGCCAACAAATGAGGAAAGTCACCGTCACGACCCCAAGGCCTAGGATTTGACGTTTCCATCTGCAGAGCTGTGCCCCTAGAGGCCTGCCTGGCTGGCCCTGGGGGCTTGGTTTGGGTGCGTTGTAATTTTCGTTCAGCGGAACTGCTCGAGCTGCTGACTCCATCAAGGCCATGGCTGCAATGTCAAGCGCGCCTTTGGTGCCTTGCAGATCTTGAATTTCTCACTTGGCGCTGTGGAGGATGAAGTTGCTTCATTACAATCATCATCAATCATCGCAGTATGCATTGATATGCATTGCAAAGTATGCACAGTGTAACAAACTTAATGAATCTTAATGATATAAATGACATAATCATTACCGTGTTATTCGGGAAGGTTTGCGATACAACATGCATCTTGTTTACACCACGTACTTTTTCTCTGTGGGTCCAAGTAAGCACTCGTCTTATGCTGATCCGTCGACACGCTGGCATGCAGCATCAAACCAGCAAACAATGAGAGACTGAAAGACACCCAAGACAGGTACGAACTATCTGTGGTGTTCAAAGTTGCAGTCGGCCTAATCCCAATCCCCAATCCCTCCAATCCGCGTTTGCCACAGTAATCCGTTCAATCCGCAATCCCGTGAAATTTGTGGAATGTTACGCGCCAAGTTATTGAGCTCAAATTCTTTGGCGCCTTCAGCTTGATTCACATGCGGGAACAAGAAACTTACCAAAAAACTTTCCCCAAACCTCCCGGCACGAGCCGCAGAATAACCCCAAAACAGACACTTGAAAGCCAAAGTGAGCGTTTTGGGGGTTATTTCATGTTCCCCAAAACAGCGCACGAACGCTTTTGCTGGAGCTCTTGTGGAAAAAAAAAATCCAATGTTTTGGGTAAGGCACACATTTAGCTTTGCAGCTTAACCAGGCGAATTTCCAGAAGCGCAGGGAAAACCACCTGCAATCCGTAAACCGTCCAATCCGCAATCCCCCATTAGGATTGCCTTTGAACAGGCCAGACTATTGAACAACTATATGAAAACACATTTTATATTAATGTATATTGCATATAATATGATAATATAATATGATAATACAATTATAATACTACAATATCAATATAAACAATTACTCACAATTATACAAACTTAATAAACCAATGCATATAGTTCCTCATTCCGGTGAATGCCTCAAGTTTCTGAGCTCCAGACACCTCCAGAACCTCCAGATCCGGCCTCGCAGGGAAACGATCTTTGGCGCACGGTGCTGATATAAATGATCTGCAAAATCAAAAGGACAATGTATCAATGTATTTTGATGTCGACCAAACTGAAGAAGTGAGCAATTGCATTTGGGCCACGATCAATATTTGGTATCTAGCTCCAAGTCGTCAATTTTTGGTGAGTGTGTGTATTTGTTTTCCAAGTTTCGGGAAACCGTGTTCTTAGTCCTTGCATTCCTTGTGTGTTCCAATGTATTTTGATGGTTTTCGATTGTATGGTCTCTGCAAGTGATTAGATAGCTTTCAGTGAGGCGCACAGAGATCCAGAAGCACGCTGCTTTCCATGTGGTAGTTCAGCTAGGTCTGCTCTCCAATATGCGGCGGTGGTCTGCTATTTCATGTCCGCTTGCCAGATCTTACTTTCGTACAGAAACCTTCAAACAGTATAGGCATGTATAGGCGGGAAACCATCAAATTACATTCCCAAAGGACACATATTATGTGAAACTTGCAAGAAAAAGGAACAACTCTTCAACGAGGGGCCAGTGTCTGGCTGAAGCGCGTTGGATTGACTTTTTGGTTATCGTTTCTTTATCGTTCGGGTTATCGTTTGGAACACCTGGTGGGATCTAGAAAACAATGATGCTGGATTTTTTTTTAATATACTGTACAAAGTGTTTTTTATATGCTGTCTTTTGGCAAAGGCTGCTGGGCAAAAGCACAAAAAGTAAGCAAACATTATGGCAGCGTACGCCCCAATCAACGTATCACTCTCTGTCACGGAATAATAGGAAGCGCAAATCAAAAGAGATGGAGGAAGAGAGGAATGTAATTACATCATGTGTATTATCATTGCTTAAATGCCGGACCTTGTTCTTCCCTGTCGCCAAGATGGTGCGTTGGCAATAACTAGCGTTAAAGCCAAAGTTGGAGTTTGGGTTCTTGCTTACTCTCAAACAAATTCTGAATGCCTACTACACAAAGCATGGAATCACCTGCCTGATATGGAAATATGCTTTTGAACATGCTTTTGAGCACGAGCAAATTTCTTATCGTTTGTTGGTGAGTGAAATGATTCGTTTTCCAAGTCAACTATAGTCAACTTCCAGATTTTCTACTACGCGCGGCCTCTATTGGCAAGGACACCAGTAGCACCTGTGCCCGCAAAGCTCGTAGGTTTGAAGATTCCATGCTCCATGAGAACCATGAGAATGATGGCTGCTAGTTGCTACTTGGTGATATTGTTAGACTGTAGACGTTACTAATATTTACTAATCATTGCTAGTACTGTGCATCATTTCGCAGCCAACTTCATCCAACGATATATCCAGCTAGACATTCGACACATCGGGTCCGCACGAATCGTCGGCACCTGCAAGGTATGCTCCACCAACAGCCCGAAGAGCTCCGATGGCAGCTGCAGGGGGAGCAAGGTGAAGGAACCTGCAGCTGGTGTCACCTGTGGATCCGATGCCCACGATTGGTGTCCGAGGTTCTCCGGAAATCATGACTACTATTCCCATAGGATCCATGTATGGTATATATGCTAACATTGGGGGTATATTGATGGTAAATGTTACCATATATACCATACATGGATCCTATGGGATTGGATACTGCGAGTTAGATGATGTTGGATGATAATGGATGATCCGCCCATCCTGATGCACATTGAGATGGTGTGTCACACATGGCATGTATTTTGCAGCTTCTCCGGGCATCGAACTGATCCCTAAACCTGCTCAAAAAGCAGAGAAACCAACACCAAAAGGACAAGATCCTGACTGATGGCATCCAAAGATGGGCAAAGCCTTAGAACTGATAAGGCGAAGCTCCAAAAGTTAAAACTGTTGAGGTCGAAAGATGCCACGCCAAACATCTACTGGGCTTTGGGCAGTTCATCAAAGGACGCCATCTTTTCTGCATCCTCCAAGGGATGTGCGTCAGGCCTCTGGTACACCTCTTGTGGTCAGTATGATCACGTTGTATCTGTATATGATTGTATATGTGTGATCGGTGCCCTGCAGAATTCTTCATATCACTTTGATCAAGCAAAAACAACGTCCTGGTCCTGCGGAACAGTGATCAGCGGTAGCAAGGCCTGATTTGCTTTGCTGGTTCTGGCAAGGGGTGATGCAGAAAAACGATGAACAAACGAGACAAAGCCAATGTGCATTGACACGAAACAACTTCACAACTGTCAGTACCCATAATAGGATCCATGTATGCTATATATGGTAACATTTACCATCAATATACCCCCAATGTTAGCATATATACCATACATGGATCCTATGGGGTATGAGTTCATCCTGCAGATCGACGCCCACACCGGCCAGACCTCCAGTAAATCGTTGCGATACTTGGTGAGCACCTTGCCGCAGTGCATGGTGAAACTTGGCCCACGGATCCATTCTTGTGAATTGCGGCAGTTGGGGATATCAAAATGGAGAAATTGGCACAAAATACCAACACAAATTGCTTGATCACGTCGACCTAATTGACCTCTGCAACTGCCTTACACCAGTATGTGCGCTTTCATCTATCCAGACCTATTCAATGCATGTTAAACATACTACGAGATCTACGAGTACCTTGAAAGACAAAAATGACTTGTTCCACCCCCTCATAGTGACAATTCATGACAATTTACCACTAAATCATGGGTAACAAATGTGGTAAAATGAAGCGTTGGTACTTTCTTCGGATAATATGATCCACTCAGAAAAGAAAGAAAATCGCCTCACGAGTCGGGCTATCCTCGCTGAGTGCTGAGAGAAGCGAAGGCAGGGATACCTCGAAGACGGATGTGAAGCTACGATTACCGGAAACATGTTTTCTTGCGATTGCTATGGGTATGCGGGTTTTGACAATCACTTTTTTGGAATCGTTTCAGCTATCCATGCTATCCCATCGTTGTGAATCACGCAGAAGGAATGCGCCTACCCAAAAAAAACTGTTATACTTTGAGTTTGATTGAGTTTGAGTTTTTAAAATGCTAATTTCCATGAATTTTGTTTTTTAAGTTTTTTCCATGCTGCCCCCAACTTCCTATTTTGCCGAAATCCCCTCAACGGCATCGGCATCAGTATTCAAGCGTAATCCACTCAGTGCAAATAAATAGGCTACACATGGGTTGACAGCTGAGATTTCAGACTTCGGCGCAGTCGGTCAAGAAAGGGTCACACCTCGTCTTATTGTTGTGATTGCCACAGTTCGGCGTCATTCAACGAATTTACGGAATCTGGAGGCAACAACATATCATAGTTGAGATATGTGTAATTTATTTCAATTGGGCACGAGTGGAACCTGTTCATTCCCCCGAGTCTATATTGGTATCGTTGAGAGGCTTTGAACCCCAAACCATCCCACATTGACAGGCTAGGCTTCACACTCCATTCGCCTCTCTTGTGGACAGCGGTAAGCATCACCCACCAAACGGACAGCATCGACCTAGGCAGAGCTGCAAAACGTTCACAGCTGGTCAAGTTGCAGTCACATGCTCTGCCGCAGAATGACATGGAATAATGACCAGATTGATCCAGATTCCAGATGTTCACAGATTTTCTAGTTAACAAGTTAACATCATATGGAATGGTGATGAATAGCAAGCAATAGTGCCCATATTATACCAAATTGTGCCATTTTAATCCATGTTGAACCATGTTGAACCATGTTGAACCATTTAAAACCATTTTGTCTCTGCAGTCCGCTAGCTAGGCTTCATGCAGCATGCCGCAGAATGTCTCGACTCTTCTCTTGCACCAACGCCTGATTTCGATCCGCTGCATGCTCTGAAAATGCCGCAGTACCCCATTTGTGCAAAGAAAAAGGCACCAAATCTTGCTTGTTTTCATCTACCATCGACCTTCCAGTCAGTAATTACAAATCATCACAACATAAATGAACAATTTTTTCGGGACAAGCTCCTGATCCAGCCTGATGAAGTGGCTTGAGAATGCGTTCGCAGGCCTTGAAAAATGAAGACGCAAGGCTAAAAAAACTATGAAACCATGGCAGGAGTAATTTTTGGTCGTTGAGTAAAACAATCTACGTATTGAACGGTGCCTGTTGTGCATTCAGTCCTTTTTTTTGCTATCCGATTCTGTGATGATTGCCACTGTTTGCTAACTAATACTCCACAACTCAAACATGTCCATGCTTCATGACTTGAGCTTAAAGCAACTTTCAACATTATTTAAACATGTGCACTTCGGCTTAAGGAGTCCTCAAAAGATTCCAGAGGATGCTTCCGGCCTTCTCTTGCAAGAGCATTGGCCCAGGGGTGTTGATGGCCTGTCAGAAACCAGTGATCTTTGCCAGCTTCGGTGCTGGGTGGATAATAACATGATACTATATATCATTGAAATTTGACCCCGTGTCTGAGTTTTTCAAAGCTTCTGACATTGCATAACCTGAACCTTTAACATATAGACAGGCCATAACAGAATAGTGTCTTTCCATGTCTGTGCATCATGGTGAAAACGCAGGCCGGCAGAACGCAGAAACCGAGCGAGAGGAGTAGTGTCGCTCTGAGCCTTTGCAGCAAGATATCACAGGTCTATCCGTGTCCTGCAATCGCATACACTTGGGATGCATGGCATCCCAAGTAACAAAATCATACAAAATCAACAACATAATGTTCTGTGGAGAGGTGGAATGTCGTGGAATACCATGGACAATAAATATGATGTAAGAGTCATGAACTCTCGGAAGATACTCAGCGTCTCAGTGTTCGGCTGCTCCGCTGTCTGTACCGCTGAAGTTTTTCCGAAAAAGCTTTGCAAACCACTGCGTCGCGTGGGATCTGGTTTGGCCTCAACGCTGAGTTCTGGAAGGCGATGGTTATTAGAATAGTATTACAGTATAAGCACGACCTTTTCTGTCAGCTGTGGCATAATATGGCACGAATACTGAATATCTGAAATGTGCACAGAACCTCAAAGCAACATGAACCACTTTCCATATCTTATAATCACATTCAGAGTATAAGAGCCATTCAAGATCAGACGAGTCCGCACAATTGAAGGTGAGACACTTCAGAAAGGCTTGGATCCAAACAGCTTTTGCAATGGCTGTCAAAGTAAGCTCCAAGTGACGCGACCTTGGGCACAGCATGACGTGCTTCTTGTCATCTCTGCTGAGAGCCCTCTTTTTTTTGGGCATCCCTGCGCACAAACTCCAAGTCCACGAGCAAAGGCCTTGTAGCAACATGTTTAAGTCATGATATGTCATGATAAATCAATATAAATCATATGTATAAACCCAGCTACAGCACAACCTGACTTGAAGATATACAGCAGTGACTTGAACCCTGCTTGGTTGAGTAGGGGTTCCTCCCAAATAGTAATAATCTGCTACAAGAATTGTACCCCCCCAGTTAAACAGCCTAAGGGGTTTGTTAATCCGGGGTTGACATTATTCAAATATATTCAAATATCAATCGATATGATTCAATATCAATCAAATAATGACTCGTACCATAGATAATTAATCATGGATGATCCTAAATAATCCTAGATATTCATAGATAATCATAGAATATCATAGATGATCATGGATAACCCATAGGATCCATGTATGCTATATATGGTAACATTTACCATCAATATACCCCCAATGTTAGCATATATACCATACATGGATCCTATGGATAATCACAGATAATCATAGATGTCACTCTGAACCTTGCGAGCTCTTGTCGACACTTGGCCAAACTTCTGCTTTGGCAGCTGTGAACCCCGACACGTCGAGAAGTGCGCCCGAGATCTGTTGCATGGCTCACCCTGTTGAGTTTCCGGCAGCTTTCACAGTGCTGACATTGATCTTGCGACATGAATGACATGAGTATTATGTATTGATTGTATTACCTACATCAACCAACCATCCAACCAACCATCCAACCATAACTGCCATAACCCAACAGCAAGGCATTCAGCAACCATAAGCCACATCCGTTGACAGCAATGGCTGAGACTTCCGACAGCAACTCCAAGGTAGAAGCAGCTCTCTGCGAGTTGCCTGGAGCGCCAAGGCTTGCCACTGTTGAGCAAGATCGTTGATCATGGGAAAATGATGGTTAAAATGATGGTTAAAATGATGGAACATGATGGAACATGATGGAACATGATGGTTAAAATGTGCACACCACATGAAACACATCCCCTCTGAAAAGAGAACATGATTAGCTGCAATTGAAACTGCTGGTGGGCCTGAATGGCGCAGGCAAATACCTTCGGCCAAAGCATGCAGAGTTGATCTGCTTGGCATACTTTGATCAGATTTTGATCAGCACCGATGTTGAGCGAAACTGAGCCTGCCAGGTTGAAGACTCCTGCACGTTGTGCATCTGTTAGATCACAGCTTCCTGGCAAGGCAAACACAGGATGACACGGGTCACGTTGCAGTGGAATCTCGAATGGAAAAAATAGATATATAAAAATATAATAAATGATAATCAATGACAATCATAGAAACATGTGGAATAATTTCGATGAATATATACCTGAAAAGTCTTTATATAAAATGTGAAAACAATTCAATCATATTTTCATAAAACTTCCCAGAAGCCTGAATGTCAGCTTTAAGACCTCCCGCCCTCTCTTCCTCTCTCCAAGCAGCCCTCAGATGCCTCCTGCGACATCCCAAGGTTTTGCCATGGGGCTCTCGCGGTCTTTCTTTACCTCACCACATTGGAAGGACCATACTTCCAAGGTCTTCCGAGATCTGGGTCAGATTTGTGAATATCTTTCAATCGCAGATTGCGAGACCCATAAAAAGACGAATCAATGGTAGGATTCAAAATCTTGGGCAGGCCCGAGGAGCAGCATTTTCAACGAGTTCTGGCAACACTTGCCGAAACCTTCTCAAGATATCTCGAGATTTTCTATGTCACTCTCAGCTGAAGAATCTTCAGCATGGAAAGATATGGAAAGGCACTTCGTGTGCAACAGAAGAGCACTTCAAGATGCTTCGACATTCAGCCCTCGATCCCGTCGATCCTGTCGATCCCGTCGATCCCACCTTCTCGACCAGGAAGCCGCAAAGGATCTCCGTGAGTTTTCCAGGCAAGTCCTGGCAGGAGCTGATGTTGCCAGAGCAACAAAGCACATCATCTAACCCATAGGATCCATGGTGCTGCTATATATGGTAACATGTACCATCAATATACCCCCAATGTTAGCATATATATGCATATATAGCATACATGGATCCTATGGGTAATTACAATATAGTCTTCCCGGAACAAATGCTTCAAGCTACTGTAGAAGGCGCTCCAGAAAATCATCAATGAATTATAATGAATTAACTATCTACTGTTCTCATCTTTTCACTAGCACAATTGCAAGTCCAAGTCCATTGTGTTTTGGACGCTATCCGGCTACTGATATATCGAACCTACAACACATGTCTGAAAGTGCTGTTTGGTTTTTTGGTCGTTGCTAAGACAACAGCTCTTCGTAGAATGCGTTCTACAATTGAGACAAACGTTGAGATATCAGATATACCTATTCAGATATGTTTTTCCAAAGATAGGAAAGCTAGAGGCAGGTTATACATCAGATGCTTGAACAGTCTCAAATACCTCCAAACAATCGCAACATCACGACCATTGCTTGGAAAGGTTGGTTGACAATTGAGTACCCAACAGCAGTCCTAAGTAGTCCTAAGTCCTTCCTCTATGTTGAAACATGGCAGTGTGTCAAAACCTTGTACCCCTGGTGAACATCAAAATAGCTGGTAAATGGATGTTCATCCCACTAAAAATGGTATTAATAGGTATTGATCCATACCCACATGCTGAAACATGCTGAAACGGTGCAAAATGATCAAAATGGTAAAGCCAAGAAATGCCAGGGCGTCGTCGTGGTCCGCAAGGGCTGAAAGAAAAAAATCCATTTCTTGGGCCATGGCTGACACCTGAGATGCGCGGCTGCAACCAGCTTGACATAGCGCAGGACACTAACCTTTCTGGACTCATATGGACTCGTTTCGACCTTGATGATTTGGGCATCACGAGATATCACGAGATATTAAGCCATGCTGACTTGTAGAATGCTACTCCAAAGAGTGAAAGCCTGGGTACACAGGTGCAAATGTGCCGTACATTGCTTTAGTCTATTGCCCCTGTCGGTTTGAACGACGTCTTCTGAAAGTCTCTGAGACATTTGTTCTGTACATGGATCTGACGTCCCAGACAACAGTTAAAGTCTGCCAATCATCCAGAAGGCAGACGGGAACCTATTTCGGGAAAGTGCCAATATCTGCCAAGTCTCCCAAAGGTCTCCTTCCAGCTTCCCAGATGACATTGCCTCCTGTAAACCACAACTATCGGCCAACCTTGGGTGTATATTTTGGACAAAAAAAAGGCGTTCTCGCATCATCCGTTTCATTTGCCACTGGGCTCAACAAGGGCTTAAGGGCTTACCCTGATTCCTGCATCCTCTTTTCAATTTCGCCACGAAGACAGGTGCGGAAAGCTCTGCATTTCCCAAAAGAGCAATAAAATGCACGGAAACCAATGCGTTGATACCAACAGTCCGCAAAGCAGCTGGAAGCTTTATTGTTGAATTCAGAATTTACAAAGAGGTGTTCAGCGCATTGGACTTCACCTCTCCACATCTTCGAGGGGAGGATTGAATCTCTGGCATCCTATGGACAACATCCAGAGCAGTGCCTGATTGGCAAACGATACCGGCACTTAGCTGTACAAGTACCGTTCAGGTGCTCTGGACAAGCAATCCCTTTCGGGCGTGTTGCAAATGAGCCAGAATTGAACGCTTGCTGTGGCCCCAGGTTTGGAAAACGCAGAAAAATCCAATGGGTGTTTCTATCAAAAGCAAGACTACCTGAGGCCCTCGGATTGTCCTATCAGATTATCAGATTCTAATTGCATCGTGTTCATGCAGAGTGTGGGCTACCGAGTAGCCTTCACACCTTGCTCTTTGGTACACTAGTGTCCATGGACAGCAGGGGAAGGACATTAACAACCCCAAAACATCATCCATTCAGCTCTGGGCCTAGTTCTCATCTTTTGAGATCAATTATAATTGGTTGTGGAATGGATTAGCCATCATATCACCGCCCTCTGGTTATGGTAATGGTTTAGGGGATTAATTTAACGAAGGGTAACATCATGATTATGGATTCCCCTGGATTCCCCTGGATTCCCCTGGATTCCCCAGCTGCTACATGGCTTCCAAGCCGAGACCGTTCAGAAAATTGTAGCCCCCGTAATTGTCAGATGAGGGCGCATGGGTGAGGTCAGACATAGCCATGACGCACCACAAGCCCTGAGGATAGGTGACAAAAAATGAATAAAAAACACAAACCTGTCAATTCACTAGCAACTCACATGCACCACTTTGACCCTTTCGACACTGCACAATATCACCCCCTCATGGAAATACATTGAAGATCTACTCTAAAAAAACAGAAAGTGACTCGTGTACCAAGCTGAGTGCACGATGTTGTGTTTCTTCAACATGTCTAGAGCGACAGCTGTGGTGAGTTCCTGCCAAAAGTATGAGCCAATCTTCTCGAAGGCAACCAGATTCCCTTTAGATACCGTCATGGATGGATCAAAACCTTCGAAGATGTAATTCATAAATAACAAATACAGAGATGCCAAAGGTTTTGATCCATCCTCAAAAACCCTATGATTATTGAGATTCAAGGTGCTTCAATCCTTCAATCTGTTTCTCAAGACCCGAGCCTCCTGCAATGCTGCACTCAGCAGTCCTGGCCCCATGCGGGCAGCGCTAATTCCATGAGCATCCCACCAACGTCCATCGGCTTTGACACAGGAGCCACGCAGACAAACCAGCGGCTTCTCGCAAGTTGCCCACATATCCTTGATCGATCTTAATATTCTTAATCTCACTCAGAAACCGTGGCAAAAATATGTGAAAATATAATATGTATTATACATATAATATGATTAAGAATATCAATTCAAAAAAGAACGCTTGTGAAATCGCAGCTTCAGCACAGAAATAGGAAAGTGGTACTAAAGCAAGATAAATGAATCCAATGTCAAAACCTGCGGAGTCTTCGTGATAGGTGGAATTGGTCCAATGCCCATCATGTCAGCGTGCGCAAGCTCATAGGGGAGTATTCTGAACTGGATATGGTCACTAATCCACCTGCAGGGTGGGATTTGCAGCGCAGGCGGACTGAAATGTCTGAATATGTCTAAATGATGTCTAAATGATACTATGAAATCCTATGAATCCATCATGAATCCATCATGATTGTTCTTTTCAAAGAAATTCAAGCCAAGATTGACACATATATCACCAGTTTTGACACCAGTTGCACAGGCCATTGCACAGGCCGTTGCAGAGGCCGGCCTGACTTGCAAGCATGCACGGAGTCCAAGAGGCCAAGGTCCTGCAACCTCGTTGTCAAATTCCATGGCATTGCTTAGCAAGTCATCGGCATCTGGCCACGAGATGTGAACCAACTTCACTCCGTAGAAGTGAACCCCAGGCTTCGCATTTCTAGAGGCTCGATCCCTGGCCTCACAGCACATGCTAAACAGCCTCTGAACCAGGTGGAAAGCCAAAGCATATCAAAGCATGGATCTCATGTCCTCGACATGTAGCAGAACATGTCTGAATGTTTGCAAACTAGGGTCATACTAGGTCACACTATGTCATGCTTCTGTCTGATGATCGTAATTCGTTTGTGACCTGCCTGCTGGCCTAAAGCCACAACATGCCACAGGTCCCTTCATGTCCCGTCGGTCCCAAACGGCACCTGCCGAACTTTCTGCGCCAACTTTGAGAGCTGCAACTTATCGTCTAGGCACATCTTCTGTGGAATGCAGGGGATGAAACCTCCAAATCAGCAACAGACAAATGCAAAGAATATGGCATCCTGCACTTCAGATCCCACGTGTACCTGACGTGCTATTGAAAGCGTGTTTCCTGCCAAAGTGATGCATCCTACTGCAGTCCTACTTTTTTCCAACACGTCCTAGTGTCCGCGTCTGGCCACATGGTGCAACTAAAATCAAGTAATTTGCCGCTCTTCCATGAACCCTAGCTATCTCTCGCTGGTATAAAGCACGATTCAGGACTGAACCTGGTATGTCCTCCAAAAACGTGCTTTCACGCCTCGGTACCAGCGCAGCCAAACAATTCGACAAGAACAGGTGCGGTATATCGAAACACCGGCGCCAACCAATGGGTTCTTCATTCAATGGTCACTGCAAATGCGAGTTGGCAATCTGCGAACTACTACGTTTGGAAGTATGCAAACATATGCGAACACTTCACACTTCCAAGCCATTCCTCATTCCAAGTGGGCTTGACATAAACTCCTTCCATTGCACAATTGCCATTAATTACAGAGTTGGAAACAAGACGCGAGCTTGAAACGCTGCAGCTAAGGTTCCAAAGCTCCAATTTGGAGGCCAAGAGTTCAGCAAGAAGTGTTTTCACTTCTGCATCAAAGGTCATGTCCTGACAAAGCCATAGCAGCCATAGCAGCCATAGCTGTGAACAGCGATTTCCTGCCTCCGATAATTCCACCGGTAGCTCTCTCAGCAACAAACTGGGCCAAAGTTGACTCTCAGAGATCTGGCGTCGCCATGCCTGACATGCTGGAGAGATGGCCGATGCGGGATCAAAGATGGTCAAGCACGTCAATTGCTAAAAATGATGTGCGTGTGTGTGTGTGCAGTTTACTATACAAAAATATCATATAATATTAAAAGATTCTACTCTACATGTCTATATGATTGTGCTTTCATCTTGTTCTGTAATTACCCAGAATGTTTTCCTAGTCGGTCCCATGTGTGCTCATCCTGCAAATATCTTTCAAAGTGCGTTAGTCAGTACTGATTGAAGGAAAAAACCCTCGAGACTTAAGTCAAATGTCAGCTCGCTTTAGCAGGTCTTCTTGCAGCTTGGCAAAGAGACTTGGAGAAGAGTGGATCATATTTGAGATATATTATATTTTGGAATACTTTATATATAATTTAAATAATATTATGAATATCTTGATTTTGGGGCTCGTTGAATACTCTAAGATCATCAACTCTGAATGGTTTTCGAGCCAAGACACAGAGCAAGTGGCTTCAAAGAAGCCCAAGGCTCTGCAGTTCAAACACTGTAACACGCCGTAGCTGAAGATCTCTATGACTACCTGACGTTGTCGTGTTCCAAACCATGTCCGTCCCAAAAAACACCTGGTTAGTTGATAGAGGTTCCCAGAATGGGTCATAGCCAGGTAGTATAAACCTCCAAGAATGACCTAATGGAAATGTGATCCACCTGGACCTGCATGATGCTGGCTGGTTTCCTCACTGTTGGCCATTTCAGGAGAAGTAATTGAAGTGGATGATATAATTGCAACATATTGCAACAATATAGTGCAAATATGTTTGTTGCAATATATTGCAAATATGTCGGTTGTCCAAAAAAAATAAAAAGACTTGGAACCCAAACATCCCATGACTATCCATGATTATCCGATTATCCTTGATCCATGATCTACCCCGTCAAATTTTGGTCATAAATTGCGGCGAAAATCGCGCTGAAGGTGCCAAGTGACTGGATCATTTGGACAAAAGGGCAGCCATGCTATCTCCGAAGCCATGCCGGGCATGCGCTGGGAGGAACCTGGTTGCCCGACAGGACCTGTTCAAAGTGCCTGTATTTCTGGGTCATGTTTTTTTGGCGATCATATATATATATATATATATATGTTTTTATATGATTTATGACATTCAAGTAAGTTCTACATGGCTTGTGGTGGTTAGCAAATGATGCACGAGCGGTCAGCCTTAGCTTTTGCACCTCATGTCAGGATAAACAAATCTGCTGCGCAAAAGACTGGCCAAGTCCAAAAGCTTTAGTGCACTAGGGGTGGGGTAGGCCTTGTGAAGGCTTGTGCGGAAGAACGAGCAGTTGATGCTTATTCCTTTGAGCTTCAAAACGCAAACAGCACTTCCTACTGTTTGTGTCTGCTCGTGTCTAAAGCTGTTTGAGAGAAACGGCGAGTCAACGGCAGAGTCCAGGAGGCAGAACTGTATGTAACTAGAATCCAGACTTGATACATCTTCACTTATTCTCACCATTTCCCACCTCTTCAGTTTCATGGTTGGTTGAATAAATGGTCACAGGTTTTCTTGATGAATCAGTCTCAAACACAAAGCACGCACGCAGGCGCACACACACACACACGAAGGAGCCTTCTTTGACACCTGTAAATCCAACAAATCCTAAAAGTTCCTAATATTGCGGTCCAAAGGCTCTTCTGAAAAACTTCCAAAAGCCACCAGGGCATTTCAAACAAGCCCATGCACAGGCTATTTCAGTACGGGCCTCTAAATGACCGCACAATGTCTGCAGTCGTTTTGATGGAGCCTGGCATAGCAGGTCTTCGGATGTTTCGCATGAAATTTCACCTCTTACATCTTGACATATAAATAGTATAAATCAACTTCCCCTGAGAGAACTTGGACACACTCAGTGACTCCGACGCACTTTTTGCACCTCCCAAATCTGCCCGAGAACCGGATGAAGAAAAGTAGCTAAGGATTCAAGGCAGCGGAGGATGCTGATGCCAATCCCAGGTGGTTCGGTAGGTGCGTGCCTTAGTCACAACCGATGTGTTGGGATCTTGTGGAATGCTCCATGGAATGCTCCAACAATGCCAACAATCACAACTTCTGTGTTCCACAATGCCTATCATGCTTATACAGTAATGCCTATAATGCCTATAGCTTCTAACTCCTAACTTCTAACATTAAAGTCATTAAAGTACAACATAGCACACGTAGACTAGTAGATGTTGTACTAGTAACTACACTATAATTTGAACAGCCGGGTATTGGTTGAAAGTTGGGTACCCAAGAAATATCAACAATCATAAATTGGATCCTCTAGATCCTTGAAATGGACCGAGGTCTGCACGCACAAATAAGCATCCAAAGCAGAAGGACTTCCTTGGCCACAAATCAAAAGAACCAAGCTGCGTCACTGGAACATGGAATAAGCTATCCCACAGTATGCCACACGTTTCACTCTTGATAAGACAAAACATACCAATACAAACTTTTTGAATCTTGATTGAAACCTCTGGCTTGGCCGTTTCCTTCACCATCTGAGTCAATCTGTATCTTTCTTGCCCAGCTGCTGACTGTCCAAATTTCTGAATGGCTTCGCGGATTCCTGCATTGCAAGACCAACTCAGGAGATATTCAGACTCTTCAGCATTCCGATTCAAGCAATCTCCTCGTATACAAATCTGTTCGTAAAACATCGGCTGTTTTGCAAGTCGCAATGTCTGCGAAGCCAATGTAATATCATTGTTTGAAATGAAAAACAAATCAAGTTGAAAAGTATGGTTGTTGTGGGGGGCTACAAAACTGTTCTGACCCCTTTGCTTTCTCTTAATCTCAACATTCTTTCTAAAAAATTATTCAACATCTTTCATAGTAATAGTTTTATCTTTCTCTCTGGCATATTTCAAAGTAGTAGCCTTGCTTCCATAGCCACTTCTATCAAAATAAATATCACTAATAATAGTATGCTTATTACTCATATATTTATAATGATATTTTATTTGAAAAAGCACAATTACATTGAACACATAAGCCTATACAATTATCCTTGAAATGCGCAATATCATTATTAACCCTTTGGCAACCAATATTTGATGAAACCTTGCCATCTTCAAAATCTATCACTAATGGTTCATTACAATTTTCACACTGGGTATTCATCAGGTTCATCAAAAAATCTACATCAACATAACCCACATCTTCTACATCTCTACCTGCTTTCTTATCTTGCTCTTCATAGTTCATATTTTTATTCTTAAAATATGTCTCTACTCTTATCTTACTCATATCCTTCTCATCAGCATCATATTTATAAAACTTAACTCTATTTAAATCTCTGGCTCTAGTAATTGCTGTCCAATACCAATTCTTTTCACAAAAAAGTGATACTGGTCCTCCGGAGGACACTGCGCCCTGCTCCGCAGCATCCCTCTCTGACCTGGGGCACTGTTTGAAAATTGGCTGGAAACATCCCATTCCATCTCATGGTCAATCATCATCCTCTCCCCCATTTCAATATAAAATGGGGCCCATCTCCTGATTTTTTGCACATCTCAGGTCTGGACTGCACCATCTGTGTCACGCATCGGCAGAGCACTGGCAAGCCCAAAAGCATGGAGGGATTGATCAAGGCTTTCAACCTCAGGGATTGCATGGGATTCCACTTCTGGCTGTGGTTTGCTTAGGGCACAACAAGTTCATCTAAAACTTGAGCCAATGCATGTCAAATCGTCAGATCCTAGTATGTTTGGGGTTTGAACAATCTGTGAAAATTCAAGTCTCACTATCAGGACCAAAACTCTGATTCTAGGTTGCTGACAATAGCGGCCACAAGACAAGATTTGTTGAGGTCCTGCACAGTGCCGAAAACATCCGTCCACAAGACATCTTCCAGCCGTGAGGCCCTGAAAAAAAACCAGCCTGGAAGCTCCAGCAAGCTGCCCAAGAACAGAGCCCGCCTCAAGTGCCGGGTGTCACATCTCCATAATGGCTTTGGAAAACCTGACACTCTCTGAAAGTGTGACCTGTGGTCTCATGAGTCTCGGCACTTGACCCTTTTGCGCACTTCTTCAGCACTGGGTGCATCATTGTGAGAGTATCCCTGGCAGGCTCCGTTTAAAGCAAGGCTCCGTTCACCGCTGGCTTCACTCGAGCGCCCGCAGTTTCAACTGGTGCTGCGGCATGCTGCGGCCTTTGACACAAACTTCGGGATGTAACCTGAAGCATGTTCACCTTCTGAGGCCTGCCAAGCCATGGAAACTGGTGTGTCATCTAGGATCACAACATGATAATTTTAATAACTTTAGTTACCCTTCACTATGTTTGATGAATAGTATATATCAAACAACAAACATATATAGATCCCCACTATATAATATATAATTATTTATATATATAATTATGTATATATATATAATTATGTGTATATATATATTATATATATATATATGAAATTACATGAATAATATTTGATAATTGATAACCTGACTGATAACTATATTCTATCATGATATCGTAGCTTGCATCAATGCGACATACCCCCGTCCAGCCTGAGCCCGAGCTGTCAGGCGGATAACAAAACCAATGAGATTGTTGACCTTGGAGTGTCAGAGGTGTCTCTCTTTCTCTCTTGGATAGCTGTAGCTTAAGATTCCAAGATGTTTCCTGCAATTCATTTATCCACTTTTATCCAACCTTCTGTCAACGGTCGAAAATAATGCTTGATTGTAGCGTTCTCCGCGAATAAGTCTGACAGTCCATCTGGACACAAACAATTATCAAATTGAGGCTTGCACATGAGCTTGTCTTGCACCAGTAACCTTTCTCAGCAAATCTGATGATTCATATTGATGAGTAAAAGGTTTTAACAACAACGAAAAAAAAAAATATCAACAATTTGAGACACAGCTATCTGGTGACCTTCTGATTATTGTTGTTTTTGCTGCCATGTTCGTTACCCCTGGGCCGGAAAAAACATCCAACCATGGCCTCCAAGAGTGTCGGTGATGCAACCAGGAGTTCTCCAAGCATCAAACCTCCAAGCACAGGAACAAGGAATGAGCCCCCATTTTGTGGCAAATTGAATTAGTCCTTCAAATTGATAAAATTGCATGCGCGACTTCGCTCCAACAGCCACAACGGCAAGATACGGCAATCCTCAAGGGTCTGATGAGTCTGGGTTTACCCTTGGGTTTCAATCATTGGCCGAGTCAACCCGGGGAAACGAATCAAAAGGCTGCAAGGCATTGTCCTAAAAAGATCTTGGGAACGGTACCTAGTACACCGCTGGTTTGGCTCAGCCGCAGAGTCATAGGTTTTTCTGACCCAAAAAAATGAGAAATAGTCCCTATAGATTCCCCAAGTAGTGGATGTCCCGTTGGGAAAATAACAAGTCATCTTCATCAAATCCAGGATTACAAGGTTGGGCCCAGTCACCAACTGCTGCGTCTGAGTCAGAAAGAAGCCTTGGTCCAGTGACTCGATGGTCACAGTTTGGCACCCATGTGCGCCAATTTTTTGAGTATAAAAAACGTTGCAACCGAACATGCTCCAGGTGTGTCTTGTCGAATGCTTCACTTGGGGGGTTGAAGAAAACATCATGAGAGTTATATGTCTAAATATACAATATAAAAAAAAACATATAATTAGTAAAAATACATATGTAAATAAAAATATAAATAAACATATTTATATATATATAAATATCTACATACAAGTATAGAGAGAAAGAGAGAGGGAGAATGTATAGCATACCAGTAGTGCCGCACAAGGTGGTGGCGGAAGTTTCAAAGATAGGAAACCTATAGTTGTTGTGAATCACGGATGGCAGAGCGAATCCACAGATGGTCCGAAAGGTGTTCGGAGTTGTGTTTTTGGAGTGGTTACAATGGTTGCAGTGGTCACCTCAGCAAAACTGCTGGATGAAGTTTGGTGTGTTGTAGTGTAGTGGAGTTGTAGTTGTAATGTAATTAGTGTAGTTCCAGTTGCAGCTGCAGTTGTAGTTGTGGTGTGGTCTAATTAGTGTAGTGTAGTGTACTGTAGTGTTTTTTTAACTGTAGTGTGGTACAGTGTAGTGTAGTCTAGTGTAGTGTAGTTGTAGTTGTAGCGTAGTTTAGTGTATATAGTGTAGTGTAGTGTAGTGTAATTAGTGTAGTGTAGTGTAGCGTAGTGTAATGTAGTGGTAGTTGTCGTTGTAGTTGCAGTGGTCGTTGTAGCTGTAGCGTAATGCAATGTAATTAGTGTAGCGTAGCGTTGTGTAATGTAGTGTAGTTGCATCTGTATTTGTAGTTCTAGCGTACTGCAGTGTAATTGGCGTAGCGTAGTGGAATGTAATGCAGTTGTAATTGTAGTTGCAGCTGTGGTGGTGGTGGTAGTAGTAGTAGCAGCAGTAGTAGTAGCAGCAGCAGCAGTAATACTAGTAGCAGTAGTCCTCCTACTACTACTACTACTACTACTACTTGTTGTTGTTGTTGCTGTTGTTGTTGTTGCTGTTGTTGTTGTTGTTGCTGTTGTTGTTGTTGTTGTTGCTGTTGTTGTTGTCGTTGTAGTGTAATTAGTGTCGTGCAGTATAATTAGATGTAATTAGTGTAGTGTAGTGTAGTGCAGTGCAGTGTAGTGTAGCGTAGTGTAGTGTACTTATTGTAGTGTAATGTAGCGTAGTATATGTGTATTTGTATTTGTTTTAGTAGTAGTAGTAGTAGTAGTAGCAGCAGTAGCAGTAGCAGTAGCAGTAGCCGTAGCCGTAGCAGTAGCCGTAGCAGTGTTGAAGTGTAGTGTAGTGTAGTGTAGTGTAGTTGTAGTTTGAGTTGTAGTTGTCTATCTATCTCTATCTACCTACCTATCTATCTATCTATCTATCTATCTGCGAGCTTGAAAACGATGCTATTCTGCGAGACTTCCTCAATTTTTGAACTTGACAACATCAAAAACGCAGCAATTCTGCGAGACTTCCTTCAAAAATGGAAAGTTGAGTGCAGTTGTACCAATGTGTCTTGCAATTTTTTCATTCCATCTGTCTAAAGTACTGCGCCCGCCGCGAAACAGGAATGCCAGGTCATACGAAGTGCTGCACCTGTCACACAAAATCATCTTCCCAAAACTGAAGACCTGATGCTCCAAAATGCAACCCCTCTCACGAAATCAGCGCCCTGACCTCCTAACATCTCTGATGAACATGTCTCTTGTACTGCGCCTGCCACCCAAAATGTCCCACGCCTGCCATCGTTTTTTTGGAAATGCTACAAAACCCTCACGTTTTGCTCACTTTTGGCAGAGTGCACAATTCCTTGCGCCTGCTACGCGAAACGACATCTGAACGTCCAAAAGTGCTCAGAACCCGTCAGTTTTTTGCACTTTTGACTTCGAAATGTGCTTCGCGCCACAACGGAGTGCAATGGTTCATCCCTCATCTGGCCACATGTCCCACCCGCCGCTTTAGTGAGCCTACTTTTCGACCCTCTGGAGCCACAAATCATTGGAAAAAAACAGTAAAACCGCGACTTTTCTACCTTTTCTTGCACCTGCATCTTCTTTCTCCTGACTCTTTCTCTTCTCTGATCTTCTCTCTTCTTCTCTTCTCTTCTTTTCTCTTCTCTTATCTGACTCTTCCCACCTCTGCTTTTCCATCTGTCCATATTGTCGGAAGTTTGACTTCTAAACTTTCTTCGACTATGATATGTCATGATGTGTCCCTGTTTCCAATCCTTTCTTGCTAACTCTGGACCCAAAAAAACTTGCGTCATGTCGAATGCCTAGTAGCGGCTGCACACCTTCCACTATTGTGCCAGCAAGAGGACCAGCTGCCAGTTGCCGCAGCACCAGTAGCGCTGCCAAGCGCTCCTCTCGGTGTCCCTTCACCTGGGATCTTCGAAGTGAAGCCATGCCTTTAATTTGAAGATTTAACTCACAAAAATCGTGGTATAATAGGGAAATAATTAGGGACATAATAGGAACAAAATTGGAAATAATATGGAAATAACTATGGAAATAATATATAGGGAACTATGATGGCAATAATAGGGAAATAAACGGGACAATATAAGGGAAATAAAGGGGAACTAATTGGGAAACAATAGGGAACTATTAGGGAAATAATAGAGAGAGAGAGAGAGATGTTCAAGGCAGTGGACATTTGAAAGTGTCTTAATAATGAGTGATCAAATGAAGCACAATTAACCTCTGAACCAATCAAACATAGGAGCACAAATGTGCATGAAACTGCAAAATATTGTGTGTTTCCAGGCCTTCTGCAACAAGAAGTTCAAGCTTTCCTTGCCAAAGTTCTCAGCTAAGACATCCATGCATCGCAGAAGCTCCGCCTCAGAGGGACCACTCTACTATTCAAAGCAAGAACCGATCACTTCACATAATTATATGTTTTGTCTTCAAATCTGCAGCAACTCCCGTTTCAAAATACTGGTGTGTGAATACTGCTTCGATCAACATGTCTGTGCGACACTGAAGCCAAATATGAAGTAGGACTTACTGTACTTACACATTCATTCCACGTGGGTTTGTCTGATTTTTTGTGGAAAACCCTATTCAATGCCTTATGGTTGATCATCAGTTTCCCCACTAACATGATTTAACATGGCAAATCGTGCCATTGACATGGCATAATATGAAAGGGCCTACATCTTGGTGGTTGATCCATGTGAATCCCACATTTTTTGGGGGCCACGTCTTCCCAAGAAAAAACATTGGCTGTTGATTGATCTATTTTATGTTAGTCAGTTCATCCCCAGATGTCTTGTTACATCAATTGAGCCAAGACCCTAAGACCCTTGTTGATTTGTTATCATAGTTATACTCCCTGGTTATTGGGGAGTTTGTTGTGATGGGAGACTGGCGGTATCTCTAACAGCTCAGCCAAGGCTGGTGTCCGCTCCTGGCTTTGCAAGGCTTCTTGGCCCAAGCCCTGGAGGTACTGCAAGGGCCCACCAGCCACGACAGCACTGAAGAGTCCAGACCAAAGCGTCTGCAGCGTGTTCCTTGCAACGTGAAACTGGCAAAAGTCTCCGAGTACTGTGTAAATTTGTGTAAAAAATCTAAGATCATATGAAGTTCTGAGCAAAATTGCTGTGTAAACACACTATCACAATGTTCAGTGATTTGATGTAAATTATGTAGACTTCTTTGACATTCTTAATTATTGTTACCAGTCTTCTGAGTGATGACTTCAAATAAAATGCAGACCTGAGTTTAGGGTCTATTGTCCATCAATGTCTGCAATCTCAACCATCATTTCTAGTGAAGTTGTGTGAGGTAGCTTAGCTTAGAGTATTCAAACTGTTTTGATGAAATACATTACCATGACATGCGTTCATATCTTTCATGACCATGACAACCAAGCTTCAGCATTGGGTACAATTTACAAATTCTAGCGATCTATTCAAATAATCTATTTGCATGTCTTGTTTGGAAATAATCCAGAACGTGTTCTGACCTTGGGTCTTTTTACGCTACCAGTACTGCTTGCAACTCAGCTTCTCAATGGTTAGCAGCTCCCGATCTGCATCTACACAAGCCTGACCAAAGGGGTTGGACAAAGCACAAATTGGGATCATCCATTGATATCCATGGTATATCCATGGTATATTCATCACAGCTTCGCAGAAATTCCCAGGATCGGCCTGCAAGGTGAGGCACGTGCCTCGCATAAGTGCAAAGGGTGGCATAGGACTCGCGGAAGATGCTAATCCCTGCAGCCGACATCTGCAAATATGCTGATGCTGCTGTTCAGTGTAAAACAGCACAAAGAAGTCGAAACATATTAGAAACATCTTCGCCATAGCGCAAGTGAATCTCAAGATGTAAGTCGTCAAGTCGCTGTTGTGTGAGCCTGCAGAATCTTAACGCCAGACAAGTCGAAACAGCTTTCGGGAAAACGACTCAATTCCGAATTGGGATACGTGTGAAACATATACTAGTGTATGATATGATTATATGATACAATAAATATAGCTATTATATATATACGTATATGTAAATGTATAAATAATATAATACAGAAATGGCAGCAGTGGTCAAAACTCCTCGAGCTCAACCAGCCTGCTTGGAAAGAAGGGAAATGATGTGTTCAAGCCTGAGAAGACTTGCGGAACGAAAGGATAGCATGTCATGCAGTTTCCACAAGTGTTTTTCATGGAGCTGATCTATGCTGATCTCACCCTACTCCAGGTGTGTTAGAT